GAATACCACACACAGCAGACGTTACCATAAAGTCAAACACTTCAATACGTGAGAGGCGAGGGGACTCACGATAATCTAGCACCCCGATCGTGAGGCGAGAGGACTCACGCTAATCCAGCACCCCGATCGAGAGAGGCGAGAGGACTCACGATAATCTAGCACCCCGAAGGGATCATTTTTTGCCACGTCCACGTCGTTGGTCCTGGGTCACGCTAAGAGCGAAAGTCGGAATATTTCTTCTATAAAATTCAACAGAACTTCTAGTTTTTTTTGAAAAACTGTTGAATTATGTATATAATTATGTATATAGTTCACTGCGCTTTTGGTTCGTAATTTTCAGGTCAAGCATGTCTTTATAGATTTTTTCACTATTTTTTTCGTACTTAGCACATCACAAAACATAAAGTTCCATACTTTAAAGCTGAAATAACAAAAAAAATGTGATCTTGGAATGGCAATTTTTAAGGTCAAGGGCACCTCCAGAATTTTTTTCAAACTCAGCGCATCAAAAATCATAGATATATATACTTTGAAACTGAAATAGCAAAAAAACAAAGAAAATGACCTTGAAATGGCCATTTTCAAGGTCAAGGACACCTTCAGGATTTTTTTTACTATTATTTTCATACTCAGCATATCAAAAAACATAGGTATATCAAGTAAAACGCTAAAATAAAACAAACAAAAATTTTATATTGGCTTTTCCGTTAGGGACGGAGGTGGTCGGAATATCGACCACCTACCAGGTTGGGAACTTGTACCGACTAATCCGATAAAATTATACATACATTTCGGGTAAATTAAAAGGTCGATTTGAACCAAAATTTTCCCGTCCTCTAAAGGTTAAACTAAAAACGTTTTCTTTTCAGGTGCTTACTAAAATTAAAACCCGCGTTTACTGCGCCCGCTACAATCTACCACGCTATACCTTAAACACTAACTGTACTTGGGTAAAATAAAAGATACTTATAAGATAAAGTAAAGTGATATAAAATACATTTTCAAATATAAAATTAACACAAAACAAAATAAACAAAATAAAATGAGTCACAATCCTTAAACAGTCTGAATTGTGTGTCGCCTTCACTCTTCTTCGTCCCTTTTTGCTTCCGCTGACTCTTTCCTTGGCGACATCGGCTCGAATTCCGGCGATTCCTGCTCCTGCTTTACTTCTACTTCTTGTGCATCTCTGGCACCGGCTGTGGTCTCTCCTGAGGTTCGGGTGACAAGGGTAACGGGCTAGTCAAAAATTTTGTCAAAACTGGACAGGTCAAGTTGTAGAGGGCAACGAGAGGAACAACTTTTAATAAGGAACATGAGTGCGCAAATGTACGTAGTGTAAGCAAAACGATATAGAAAGGTAGTTTTTTTCCAATAAAAGTTGTATTTTTTGACAAAAAATTTTGAAACGTTGCACACTTGTAGTACTAGAGGAGCTGAACAAAAGCCCGCCGTAAGATTTTTTTACTACCGCTTTGTTTTTGAAAAAAAAATTGATAGATTTTTAAAGTATAATAAAAGTTGTATTTTTGGACAGAAAATTTTGAAACTCTGCACAGTTATAGTACTCGGCAAGGTGAACAAAAGACCGCCTTAAGATATTCTTACTACCGCTTAGTTTTTGAAAAAGA